ACTGCTCGCTGTACCACTTTAGTCGTTTCTCTCTCCATTCCAAACAGGTAAATGACTCTTTTTTTTTCAAAAATTTCACAGTACTCAATGGCGGTGAGTGAGTGACAGACAGAACGAGCAAAAGGAGGGAGGGAGGTAGCGGCCTGGTGAACGCATGTAATTACGCAACCGCTCTTGTATATTGCTTTTAAAAAAAAAAGGTCAGTTATATTTTCGACGAAATACTGGACGAAATGCTTTTTTTCTCCACTTATGTGTCCCTTCAACACATACCCGTTAATAATTCCCCACATATCCTTTACAGCCATAAGCAGTAAGAGCGGACAGGGAGTGGGGAGGGGGCCAAAGATATGGATCCAGAAGTACCGGACTGCGACTGAAAAGGCTTAGATGGTTTGTGATGATACATATTTACCACATTTTCTCGAAAAGCGAGTATTTACCGCAAAAACGACCGGACTTCATGCAAAAACCTGATAATCATTTGCTCGGAGGCCCATGCGGCCCTATAATGCAATATCTTCATCCCAAACAATAATTAGATTGTCACAAGTAGCAGTGAAAAAAATGAAAAATGGTATAACTACATTCAAGAAATGCCTGGATTTGAACTAATACGTGACTACAAATGACCTTCAAATGACCAAATGACCAGATCTTTTGATGGTGTCATCTTTTGATGGATCTTCGAACAGTTTTCTGCCGTTGTAGCTTCCGTTTCGGGCAGTTATTTCGAGTTTTTTCATTTTCTGGATCTACTAAACGCACTGCTCTGTCGAAATCTCAGCTGCATTTGAATTCGCTTACTCATAAGTTTAAGAATAATTCCAATGCTCCGTGATTTTTCGATTTTGTTTTCTACTTTTTTTTGCCTTTTCAAAATGTGTTGCAAGTCGTTTCCATCCATCGTCCGGTTTCTATCGAAGCTGTGAATCACTGCAGAACAGAAAATGGGATTGCTCTACACAGCAAAAAAAAACATTTTGATTTCATTGCCTTGAAATGTGTTGTTATTCAGCAGCAAAAAATTAAGTTTAATCAAAATCTTTTTCGAAAATTCATTGTGAACAAAAAAAACCTGCCACCCCTATGTTGGGACTGCATTTCAGTGATATTTTTAAAATCACTTCTGCTAGGCTAGGGTGTTTTTCTTATTTCAATTCTGTAGAAAGCTAGAATGCTGAAAGTTCCGTAAACCACCGATAAACTAAAATACACGGCCAGGCTTAACTCTGAGCCAACTAGCTTCTGTCCGAATGCCTACAAATACTTCAGGGATATCCCCACTAAAGTATGAGCAAAATCAAATTCTATGAACTAATTTATCGGATGATTTGGGTTTTGTTTTGAAGTTTTTGATTCTCCGTACGTGAGGACCTGACTTATCCGTTGATGCCAGTATTTTCATGTAATAATTTGTTGCTTTTGTTAAAATTTCTAAAAAAACTATTGATCTGCGGTTACTCGGATGTATAAGTGCTCTTTTCGCCTTCTGAGAATTGCAGTGTTTTAATTCTTTGCCCTCCCACCGAATTCTGGGAAGCTCCTTAGCTTATTATTTTGATTTCTTTTTTGTATGACTAATAGCCTATAACGTAGTATAGTGATAAATGTATGTATATACATATACATCACAAGTTGTTGGTTACCCACACACGCACACACATGCACATAAACATACATATACACACACAAGGCACCCACAAACATCGTCTTTTAAAGTCGCAATACCAGTAACTTTTTGTTGCTCAGTAACAAAGTTATTCCGGATGACTTTTCGTGCAGTACAAAAGTAAAAAGCATCCCGATTTTGCACGGAAATCCCGAATACTTGGGGTAAATTATTTACGCAGAACTGATCGTGGTGTGCAATGAGCGACCTTTGACCCCAAATCATGTTTTCCTTGGGGCTAAAGATGGCTAGCACGTGTTGTAGCCAAAAATCGCGCGTGCAGTGTGATTTATCACCAGAACTGTGTTCTTCCAGATGTTCGGGTCACATCTTTCTTTTTCGATTCTGTTCTACTCTGACAAGGAAAAACCCGGACTACTTTTAGGAAAATATCTTCATCTCCATGTCTCGCGTTTTCCAAAAATGACTTTTTATCAAAAATGAAAAAAGTTACTTTTTTTCAAGTTACTTTTTCATTCGGCTTGCAAATTTATACATTTCTAGAGGAATTTTGCCAACTTCAGGTCTTTGAAAATCTGCGTAGCCCAATGTGTTTGAAAACAAATCAATGAAAAAACCATGGAAAAAATCGATAAAACTCGAAAACTAAACTCCTAGTCGGCAATGCATTCCTTGTAAGAGCTGCAGTTTTCAAGACAAAATGATGTGTGCAGGAAAAAACCGAAGTTTTGGAAGTACTTCTTTCAGGGAATCATTGGAGTGGGTAATTTCGTTAAGAGGCACAACGAGTGAGGATTCGCAGTAGGCTGACCATCAGGCGATGTAGCACTGGTCAAAGCATCTGGGAAAGTTGCCATTTAAATAGCTTGGAACTGGAGCTGGTGATATAATATTTCATTGCGATATGTTTGCTTTTTTTGGGATTTCTTGGTACTTTGGGATCCAGTAACAGTAGATTCAGTAGCATATCCCGTCAACATAAAATTTTTTTTTTTCAATATAAAACTAGATCTTTTTTCTAGTTAAGTTTGATCATGTGCTGCTTTATAAAATATTTATACCGAATTTACTGTAGGTGATTAATCTGTCTATACCTTTTGCAGACACAGCTGTTTTTTGTCCAAATTTTTCTGTCACACAAACGCATACACACATACGCACACGCACATGTACACACACACACACACACACACACACACATGCACTCATACACGCACATACACTTACACTTGTGTACAGACGTATCAACTTACGTAGTATGCGAGTACCATGTCACGCTACAATTACCATTAACTTCCTCACAATTTTATTACCATTAACATTCACGGTGATAACAACAACTCCAGGAGAATGGTTTGATTTTGCATACCACTACAGCGATTACATATCCACAATGTGATGGAACATATGCGCGACATGGGAATTCCAGAATATTCCACACATTTTGACACATACATACAGATACACACACACACACACACACACACATACATACATACGTACATACATACATACATCACATACATCGAATTTACACTAAAATTCGACACAAACATGCTAGCTGTACAGTAAAAAAGCACAGTTTTTTTTCGGCTGAGAAAAAAGTCACCGGAAGGTTTATTTGTTTAATTTACGGGGATGATAATGTTGAGAGACAAAAAGAACCGAGGATGCTTTCTGATATGGACCTAGTGCTAACTACCGGAAGGAAAAGGGGTTGCGATGATATGCAAGGAAAATAGCTTGAAATGCACTAAATTACATCACTAGGATGAAATTCAAAAAACTGAATTGGACAAAAAAAGGAGAATTTTCCGATGAATGAGTCTAACTTTCGTACAAAAAATTTGGAGAAAAAAAAAACTGGAAAAAAAAACAGGAAATTTTTTGATGAATGAGTCTACATTTCTGTTGAGAAAATTTACCTCAAAATGCTTGGAATCTAAATTCCTCACTCTCCATATTATACTAGACATGAGAAGAACTTTTGATTTACATGTTTGCTCACAGAATCAAACAATTCATACACGCACCGTAGTAACTACATTCCCAAGATAATGAAAAAAAGAAAACGGAAGTAAAAATATCACAGCAATAATTGATGACAAACACCTCAAAATGGCGAGCTGTTCGGCCCCTCCACATTTGAAGCCCCTCGTGTTTCAAAATCAAAAAATTCGATAAGGGCTGAATTTGAAATCTTTAAATTGTAGGTGAACAGGGAAGATCCCCTTAAAATTCCAGTCTTCCAGCTTTTCTGGTTACCGAGTTAGCATTTTCCCCGTCAAAACTTTCACGTGCTCGTATTTGTAAACCATGAACCTCTCTCGGCAGGAATTTAGCGCGCAAAAAAAGACGTAAGAGGTGCCGCCGTGCTCGCCATGGACCAGCCCAATCTTCCAGATGAAGAAAAACCAATCTTTTACATGCACCGAAAAAAAAATCTACACCGAAGCTCTGTACCGATCGCTGAGACGCATCGACTTGCGTGGTGATGGCCTTCTGCTACTGCTGCTGCTACTACTACTACGCTCAGAATGTCTGTCCAAATCATCAGCGGCAACGTCCTTGGCCCGTTGATGCAATCGTTTACGTGTATCCACTTTCATGAATGCTGCAAAAGTAGAGGGGTTGATTGAAGATGAGGAGGAGATGACAGTTAAAAAATGTAAATTATGATGATCCCCCCACCCCCCTTCCCCTTCCTAAACTATAATTAACCTATTATCCATGTTCGTGATCTTCCACGAAAAAACTACTACTCCTTGTCAGAAAAGCAAAAATTTCCTCTGCATCACTCTCTACAGTCATATATAAGCAGCCAGACAAATTATGTCAGATGAGCGGCGTGCAGGATATCATTACAAAAATTCACGATGTGTTGTTTGCTTACCATGCTGACAACCAGTGAGGGATGTTAGAAAGTATGGGTTCCACGGGGAGGAAAATAATCGTGGATGGCCCTTGGAGAAGTAGTGTGGGTGCAGAGCACATAAAAATGCGGGCTGTAACTGGACGTATAACTATCTCAGAAAAGTATAAATGCTCGTACAGGTGAGCCCAAGACGCGGAAGTACCAGTAATATCACTGAAATTAGGTCCATGCAACGAATATCAGTGCGATAATCGTTGTAGAAATGTGATTTTACCGGTACTCCTGGTGATTCCGGCTTGAAACCTTTGATAAATCACTGAGTTACATTTCCCTTCGTCTAATACAACCCAAACGAGACGTGGTATCACAGAGCACCAGTTGAAAAATTTTGTTATGAAAACGCTCGGTAACAATCTTCCAAGATCTGAGGTTATTACAGAAATCGTAGGGAAGATGGACAAATTCGCGGAAAGATGGGAAAATTCGCTGCGCACAAGACGCTTGAAGAAAATAAATTTTTTTTTCAAAATTAAGAAACGGAATTGTTTTTTTTAAAGCAAGAATTTTTGAAAACTTACAGACAAGTTTAGTTTGTTTTCTGGGTGATCTTGGCACTTTTCTGGTCAATTTTCGTCTTCTACATTTCCGTACTGCTAGAGAAGCTGCCGATGAACGGCTGGTTGGGAGCACCAGTAAGTCGGAATCTGAGCACGCGATTGTTGCAATCACATCGGTTTTGCTGCTACACGGTATCTGATTTTCAGTGTCGGATGCTGGACTGGATTCGCGTGGATAGAAGGAAGTTCGATAGAAAGATGGGACCTGAAAAAGAAAGAAAAATAATAATAATCATAGTCAAGTAACACAAAATCTAACAAGCAAAATAATTTAATTTCAAAAAATTTGAATCAGTAAAATCGCAAAACTCAGAGATGATTTTCACTGACTAAAATTTGATAAAAAGGCAAAAAAAAGGCAAATCTAAAGACAGCACATAAACGCTTGAGTCGAAACAAAAAATCTCGGAATTGTTTTAGGAAGAAACTACCAATTCAGACAATTCCAAAGGACAACAAATTTTGAAAGAGATTATTACCCAACAAAAAAATTAGCCGAAGGATGATTTAATAATCATCGAAAACGCCAAGCAAAATCAAAATTCCTGAACTCTACTCGCTAAGGGAAGCCAGAGACTAATCAGTAGCGAGATGCAGTTGTTTCTTATGAACAATTTTTCGGCAGAATTTGAGGAAAACTTACCGATTCTGCGGGAACAGCAGTGAATATGTAATCGCTTTGGCTGCTCGCTGCACATGGATTTTCGGAATCAAACTGGAAACCCCATTTGAGCCGCTGCTGCGCACGTATCTCATCAATCTCTTTCGATATCCATTCGTCAAAAAGCCGATGATTCGGCGGGGAGAAGAGGCGACGACGTGCGGTCCGTTTTCGCGGCGATTTCATCGGGAACACTGGATTGTTGTTGTTGTTATTCACCGGTACTGGCAGAATTGCCGAACTTTTCATGGAAACAATCCAGGAGACAAATCAGGAAAATTTGTGATGAAAAATGGAGGAAATCGTGGCTGTTCTCTTCGTCACTTCAGTTTCGCAGGAAATTGCAGGATGGAAGAGAAAACAATCCTGCAAAGAAAATGAAAAATAATTGCGAAAAAATGAAAAAACATGAGCGTTTTTTTGTTCGTGCGCGAAAATATCGTCGATGATGTATTAAGAAATAAAATGCTATAGTTTCGAAGTAAAACAAGTACGAATATAGGATTTTAACGACTTGATTTTCCACACAAACCACAATCAGGCTCTTAAAAAAGCTTTCTTTTCTCCTTCTCCATATTTTTTACGAACCTTGGCCCAATTTTAGCTTATTTTTGGAGCAAGCTGGAATTCTGATAAATGAATCTCATTTTTTTGCGCACCTGACCTGGGGATTCAGGTACAATTTAAGACAACCGATTCCAAGAGAAAGCAAAAATTTTGGTATCCCGCTCATTGCGCAATATATCGTAAGACGCATTGCATCATGTGACCTTTGCTGACCTGTGATCTCAGGTCCAAATTCATCCTGGATCAAGTTAGGATCACATTTCAGTAGTTAAAATATGCTCGCAAATACAAAATCAAACGGTTTTTAAAAAAGTGCGAAAGGACTTGAAACCAGTGGTTCGTGAACATCCAAAAATTGAAATCTTATGCAAAATTACAATCCGCATGAAAAATCGTCAGAATCTTATGAAAAGGTGCAATTCTTCCGCAGTCACCTCTAATCTGATTTTCTATACATATTCGAAATGTCAGCCCATCTTCTACGAAGTGAAGAGCTCAGTGAAAGTCGGAAAACCCGCAAAAAACATAATGGAATTCAAATAAAATACTAGAACATCCGGTACTGTAGTGTGGCTGCACATCAACTTCACGTACAGGATGAGATCCAACTTCACCTAGTACCAACTTGACGTTCCTCCCGGCTCAAAATGGTGATATTCCTAAACTTCATCGACTTTTCGTTTAAATTTTGAAAACTTACAGTAATAAAAATTAAAAAATCCCGGATACACTTATTTGCCCCCTAAAAATTCTATAGTTCTGAGATATTTTAATGTCCCCCCTCCCCCTCCTCTGAATAAATATTTCTTTTATTTCAATTCTGGATTGATGCCCTTGAATTCGCCTCTACAAACAAAATTTTAGATAATTTTACATTTTTATGAAATTAGATGCTTAGCCTTAGACAAAATTATAAACGCGTTTCACGCATTTCAGTGATTTTCACTAACGGTGACGCATAATGGAAACATTAGAAACTGAAGCCCCTTGTGCATAGAAAAAATAATAAATCACCTCAGAATGATACTACTCTTCCCGTATAATAGCAGGTTAGGGGGTATTTTGATTCAACCCAGGATAATGAGTATGTCCAAGGAGATGCAAGAGGTAGCAGATGTGCGTAT